AGACTGGCTGCTGTATAATAAAAATTTTGTCTGGTCTTCGTCCTGAATTCTTGACACTGGGCTTCTAAAACCCTTGGAATCTTAAGAGTGATAGGAATGTCTGTTATTCATGACCCCTTGGATCACCCCTGAGTTCATGTCAGTGAGATGACTTAGGACAGATGGGAGCTGGCCATACCAGAAAGACAACCATGTGATTAGAGGATTGGGACTCTGAGCCAGTCTCACCTCTGGGGAGTGGGGCAGGGGTTAGAGATTGAGTTCAATCATGTCCTGTAGCTAATGGTTCAGCTGATCATGTCTATGTAATGAAACTCCAATAAAAGCTCTGACACTGAGGTGAGCTTCCTGGTTGGTGAAGACAACAGATGTGCTGGGAGGGTAACACACACTGGAGCCCTCCTGGACCTCGTTATGTGTCTTTTCATTCGTCTGGTCCTGATTTGTACCCTTTATAGTAAAACTGTAATCAAAACTATAGTGCTTTCCTGAGCTGTATGAGTCATTCCAACAAAGTTTTGAACCTAAGGGGGGCATGGGAGCTCTAAAATCTATTGCTAGTAGGTCACAAATATGAATAGCCTGGGGACACCCAAACTGCAGCTAGTGTCTAAAGTAGGGGCAGTCTTGTTGGGGACTGTGCCCTTAACCTGCAGGATCCCTGCTAATTCTAGGTGGCTAGCATCACATACGTACTGCAGTGTTATACTGGCCTTATGACTTGCTTTGACCAATACTTTGACCAACAGAAAGTACCACTGTTTGAATTTCAGAGCACTGCTCTCTTGGAATTCTAATGCCATCATGCTGCAAAGAAGTTCATGATGAAAAGACAGCATAAAAATGCCAAGCTATGCCAGCTGTCCACAAGCCCAGCCCCCAGACAACCAGCCAGTTGCATAAATGTGCCCTGGCTAAACACCAGCAGAATTATCTAACCGACCTAAATAACTGTGAGAAGTAATAAACTGCTATTGTTTAAAGTCATCATTGTTGGGTTGGCTTTAAGTGGCAATAATGTAACAATTGATATAAGTTCTCACCCAGTTACATATGTGGGAGAAGATGAACTGAGCTGCTTCTCAAGGATGCAGGTTGACTAACTGTGTAATGGCACTTCTTACTAACAAATGAATAAATCAACGTTTAGTTAGTACACCAGTCTTTGTTGAGCTTGTTTTGTGAGCATCTACCCTGAGAGAAGAGCCAATTTTCTGTGCTGACAAAAATCAAGTATCTAAGTCTGTGGCACCAAGGATTAGACCCTGGATGGTGGTGTATTTGGCCAGGATCACTCTAGTTGTGGGGGGGAGGTTCTTGTTAAGGAGCTGCTGAGCTTCATCTTGGTGGCAGCCTCATTTCAATGCCAGCTTGATCACCTGAGGCAACAATCATTTCCATTGAACAGCATCTGAGAACAATGGAAGCTAGCTCGTGGGCAGTGTGAGGTCAGGACCTGTCTGCTGAGTCCACTCCTGTAGCTCCATAGACCAGCGTAATACCTGGCACATGGTAGGTGCCCTGTAAAAACGTGTTCGGTGAATGGGCTTCCTCAGTGTGATATATATAAGTGCCTCTCATGGCTCCATTAACTTATTTTTGTATATTAAAATTAATGCTTTAACTCAAGGACACAAATATAAAATAGGCAGTTCCTACCTCTGAGGTTGAAAATCCAGGATAAGATGAGAACACGACCTCTGAAATAGAAGAGAAACAGAACGAAGGTTGGTGACAGCGCTGACTGACTCCCAGAGATGCCAGGGTCTGGGTCAGCCACCCACTGTATGCAGCACAGTGCCTTCTAGGAGGGTCCTCATTGGTCCTCAGCTCCAGTGCTAACTGGGAAGGGGTACCAGCTATGACATACGTCAGGTTAATAAGCCCTTTGCACTAAGAATCAAATTCAAGCTCTTGGCCAGGCCTCTAAAGCCCTTTCTGATCTGGCCCCTGCCTACTTCTCCAATCTTATCTCATGCTACCCTGCCCCTCACTTACTATATTTCAGCCACAATGACGTCTTTCTGACTTTACAACATGCAAGCTCTTTCTAAACTCAGAACTATTGGGTAGTCAGCACTGGTTAGAAAGCAAACCCACTATCTTAGAAGAAAGAAGTGTATACAAAAGATATTCTGTCAGAGGATTTGAAAATATTATTTGCTGTATCAGCAGAAACAGAGGGTGTTAAGACAGTGAATTCAGGAGAGAGTAGTAGTAATGGGGAAGCTGCAGAGTGACTTCATTCTTGGGACCATCAGACTAAGACGAGTCAATCAACAGCTAAGTTCAACCTAGTAAAGCAAAATACCTGCTGGGACTGGATCCTGTGCAGGGACCACTCACCTTTGCCCTAACAGGACCCCTTCCACATATTAATAATATTATACTGAGAAAGGCTACACGACAATGAAATAATCAATAGTAGGGGTGGAACATCCCGTGGCATAAATAACTTTTCCCTAAGATGAGGGTCTGGAAGGAATTGGGGGAAGGTTTGTGCAAGGAACAAAGCAGGAGTTAGCTGGAGGATGGGCCATGGTCACAACTGTGGGTGCTAAGCAGTGGCCCTCTGGGGAGACAGAGAGGCCCCACATCTAGAAAGATAAGCTGAGGTACACTCTGAACTCATGTCCTGGGCCCCACCCACATTTACAGGAAGCAACTCCAAAAACTAGAACCTGCACTCCAAGGTTCAAATTGGGGCCTGTTCAAGAGAAAGAAGGACAATCAAGCATCTTCTAATATTTGAGGAAAATTAACATTAGGAAAGAAAGTTTTGAAACATAAAAGAACTATCATCTGAAAAAAACAAGAGTTTAAACAAAAGAATAAAAACTTTAACATAGAATAATTAGTGTCCTCCAAGGAATTCAAAAGGCTATTTCATTCTTAAAACAAAAATAGGTTATTACAAAAGAAAACTATTAATAATTTTGTAATTTTAAAGTATGATAACCAAATAAAAGACTTAATGTGCTGTATAGAAGAACAGAACCATCTGAAGAGCTAATCCATAAGATGGAGAATGCAAAGGAGAAAATAAAGAAAAAATTTCCAAGATGAAGAAAGCCACATGGCCTTGACTAAAATAACCATTAAAGTGCCCCAAAAGATAAACAAAAAAAGAGTTGCACACCTAGATGCATCTTAGTAACTATTTCCAAAGGATAAAAGGGAAATATTAAGAGATTCCAGGAAGCAAAAATTAGTTTCCTACAAAGGGATGAGAATCAGTCTGGTATGAGACTTCTCACTGGCAACAATGGATCTGGAGGGCAATGGAGTAATATCTTCCAAGTTTTAAGGGAAAATTATTTTAAGGCTAGAGTTCTCTATTCAACAAACTAACATTCAAATATGGTAACAAAATAAAGGTAACTTTGGATATTTTATGGACTGAGAAAATTACTACATGTAAACCCTCTTTGAAAGTATTATTCAAACAGCAAAGTGAAAAGCAATACCAAATAGGAAGCTATCTCTGTCACTACGAGAAGGAAGATGCTTCTTAAGTAAGAATCCAAAGGCATAATTCGCAACAACATGGTTGGACCTACAGATGATCACACTAAGTGAATAAGTCAGACAAATATCATATGATATCACTTATATGTGGAATCTAAACTATGATACAAATGAACTTACCTACAAAACAGACTCACAGACATAGAAAACAAATTTACAGTTACCACAGGGGAAAGAAGGGGGAGGGATAAATTAGGGGTTTGAGATTAGCAGATACAAGCTACTATATATAAATAGGTAGACAACAAGGTCCTATTGTATAGCACAACTATATATTCAGCATCTTGTAATAATTGCTGTACACCAAAAACTAACACAACATTGTAAATTAACTATATTTCAATAAAAAAAAGAAATTAAAGGCCTAACCATAAGGTAAAATTGGGTAGATCTGGTGTTAGGGACTGAATTGTGTTGCTCTCACCAATTCGTATGTTGAAGTCCTAACCCACCCAGTACCTGAGAATGTGACTGTATTTGGAAGCAGGGCCTTTAAATAGGTAATTAAGGTAAACATGGCCATTAGGATAGATCCTAACTCAATATGAATGGTCTCCTTGTAAGAATAGGACATTAGGACACAGAAAACACAGAGGGATGACCAAGAGAGGATACACAAGAAGGCAGCCATCTGTAAGCCAAAGAGAGAGGCTTCAAAAGAAACCAAACCTGTCAACATCTTGATCTTGACCTTGTAAACTCCAGAACTGTGAGAAAATAAATATCTGCTATTTAAGCAAGTCTATGGTATTGTTATGGAAGTTGTAACAAACATTTCACTAAATCAAAATTAAGAATCTCTCTTCAAAATGTCATCTCTACCATTACAGGTGAAATTAACAGATGGGTGATGACAGGATAAAAGTATTTAAAACTGTCAAGGGATATAAAATAGCAATTCATAAAAGTTGAAAACCAAATAGCTAAGTAAATGAAGAAATAGTTAACATCACCAATAATTAGAAAAATGCAAATTGAAACAATGAAATACCAGTTTACACCTACCAGAATAACGAAACTCAGAACAATTAAAAAAATTGGGGAATATCAAGTGCAGACAAGGTTGTAGGGAAACAGGAACCCTGGTCCACTCTGGTGTGAGTGTACGTTAGAGCCACCATTTTGAAGAACAATCAAATCAGGTGGCACTTATATAAACCATGTATGTGTATACTCTGTCATCCAACAATCCTGCTCCTAGAATAAATATTCCAGAAAAACTCTGGCACAGGGGTGTATGCAAGAGACATACACAAGGTAGGCAACCAAGGTGTCTATTAGCAAGGGAATAGATGAATAAGATGTGGTTACAGCACAGTGTGGAATATTATGCATTTGTTAAAAGGAAAGAACTGGATGAGCATCCAGTAACAAGGAAAAATCTTAAAAACAGTCGTGAGGGAAAAAAATTAAGTAGCAGAATGAGCTCAACTGCATATTACCATTATATAAATCAGAACACATTATACACAAAATAATACATTTTACAAAGATACATCCATATATCCAGGAAAGTATACCCAGCACAAACATATTTATATGAAAATGGGAAACAAGAGTGGAGATTAAGAATGAAGAAGAAAAAAAGAATATGAAAATGACTATATGTATGTATATGCGTAACTGGGACATTGTGCTGTACACCAGAAATTGACACATTGTAGCTGACTGTACTTCACTTGAAAAAATAGAATGAAGGAGAAAAAATAAGAGGGCAGGAGGAGCTTTGTACAGACTGAAGATTACCCTGTGCTAATAAACAGAGTTTTATTAACTCAACTCTCTGCTTGTAAGTTACACACATACAAACACACACACACACACACACACACACACACACACACACAATGAGGAATCTAAGAAAGAGTAAGATTTGAGATATGAGCAGCTGTGGTCCCAGAAGCCAGTAAAACTAGTAAGAGTTCAGTTTCTCAGTGTAAAGAGTTGTTGAATAATTTCAAATATTAAAACGACTCAAATCATTATTAGGGTTTATTACATTATGGGATGTGATGGAGGTAGGGTGGAATATAGGTAAACACATATGAAGATTTTTTTTCTTATTGAGGAATTATACTTACATTTGGTTGACTCCAGGTATTGATAGACAAAGGTGAGTTTAAATAACTAGAGCAAAGTTTTAGGGTAACCATTGAAGTAGAAATGAGATGGACAACTTTAAATCTCTAGATGAAAAAGCAGAATTAAAAGAAAACTTGGTGGGGAGGGTATAGCTCATGTGGAGAACACTTGCTTAGCATGCACTAGGTCCTGGGTTCAATCCCCAATACCTCCATTTAAATAAATAGATAATAAACCTAATTACCTCCCCCTCATAAAACAAAAACAAAAAACCCAAAACAAACAAAGAAAAAAAAAAGAAAACTCAATCAGTGCTCACAAAAAAGGCACAAAAGAGGGAAAAAAGCATGGTAAATAGAAAACAAACCATATTGATGATAGAAATAGATCAAAACATATCAATAGTCACAATATAAGTGAGTTAAATTCTATTAAAAGAAAAAGACCCATATCAGGGAAAATATGAGGGTTATATTGTTTTTGAGACACCCTAAAATAAATATTCATATCAAACAAAATGGAGGCCCAGGCTAAGGGCAAAAGTATTAAGATAAGGTGGAGTATTTTACAGTGATTAAAAGACACAATGTACCAAGATAACAGTCACAAACCTCATAAAGAAATCAAACCAACTTAAAAGTTAAAAACAGCCAGAAATGTAAGGAGATACTGACAAACCCAAAATAGTGGTTAAGAGACTTTAACACAGCTGTTCCAAAGCTAACAAACCAAGTAGACAAAAAATAATCTTGGGGAAAACCTGAACAACTTAATTGTGCCAATTATTAAGGTACTGTTTTTTATTTCCAAACCCACACTTCTCTATTCTGCTTTGGGATGCTGGAGCTGGGCCTCTGAAAACCATGTTTCTGCTTTGCCACCTGGTTTCCTTCTTGTTAGATTCTGATCATAGTGGGTGGGGCTAGAGGGAGACTGCAGAGCTGCAAGAGGAATAAGGAGCTTGATTCCTCCTGCCTACTTCCCTTGCGTTTCTTGTGATTCTTGTGAACGCCACTGGAGCAATGTCATCTAACCCCAGTTTCAGCAAGGCCCTCCCCAACAGCAGTGGAATCCAGTTTGCAGTTTTACA